ATGAAGGTATTGAATTAGTGTTATATGCCAGAGACATGCACTTGTGTATGTGTTGCTTCAGGGCAAATTTATTAATATTTTTACCTTTGAACTCTCAGTAATGATTCTGTAATGCAGTATTTATATGCATTTGAAATATTTATTCAATTGTTTTGGTGAGGTACAAGTTCTGGCTTGGAGATTATAGCACTTGCCTCATGAAACACCCAGAAAAGTTTTTTTTTTGATAGTACATCTTACCTGTTGCTGGAGCAGGCACTTATTTGATTTATTAATAGGTCCTTAATTTTATTTGTAGTGTTTGTTTGCTCCTGCTACAAATTTTTAGGCTACATAGCCTTCAAGTTAATGGGAGTATCAGTGCCCTCATTTCAGTTTTGTATTGTATGCTACTGATCTGCTATTTATTTCACTGCAGCTCACTGGATTCTCCTAAATGATGCGCTGCTTGTGTGCTTTCTGCCAAACTGTGCCAGCTGTGTTTCTGCTCAGCTGGTGCAAACAGGAAATGGGCACTCCTCTCTTTTTTGAGGCAGCTGTAATAAAATTTTACAAGTGTGTGACTCGGGAGGGGGGGGAAACGACAGTGTATTCCACTATATGCATCCAAACTGCAAAAATTTGTCACCGATCTGAAATTTGTGTGGCATGGAAAACTTGAAAATTTCAATTTTTCTGGAGGTGTTCCTTCCATTTTTAATACGTATATTGCCATGTGTATGCTGGATAGCGTGACCTTGCAATTCTTTGTTCTACTCAGTAATTTTTATTTGTTCTTGTTCTGACTGAATCCAAGGGTATGCAACATATGTAGATGTGCAGTAAAGCCCCTTCAATGCTTTTATCACAGGACCACAAAAGAACACAGTAGCCAGGAAATATGTAACATAGACATGCAATTGAAATTGAGAAAAAGTGCTTCTAAATAATAAAACTGACGCATGCACACAGCTGTGTCAGGACAATTTATTCATCAGTTTAATGGGCAGTAAACAGGCTCGAAGCTTTTTTTTACACCCCCAGACAAGCTTGCTTATTCGTGCAGTGGATGACGGCAATCACATTTTGGGAATACTACTACAGTGCTGCATGCTGCACGTATTCTCCATTTCGAAAAACAATTCCCGGGCTTCTTTCCTACGCCTTACCAATCCTCCTTGTGTGCACGGTGATGAAATCTTGCCCTTGTAGTGATACAATAAATACCCCTGACACTGAGCTTGTGGATTCGTCCTTTGCACTACGAAATGGCTCTTTTGCCTTGCGGTGATGCACTTGTGGCTGCACAGTCCGCATTTTAATTTTCCTATGCGGCCTTCTGCTGTTTTGCAAAGCCTTAGACTACCAACTCGAGTGGTATTGTCAGAATGTAAGCCTCCGAGATGGAGGTGTCTTGCAACTTAACCGCAAGGGGAAATGTGCATACCTAACCAGTTCCTCATATTCCTCGCAACGTGCTTGCTCCTCTCACCATTATGGCTTGCGCACATGTGGGGAAAGCCTTGCTCGGTCGTAGGTTGCACACCAATGATGTAATCGCTCATGTCATGTTACGTGCTGTACTGGATGTTGTCCCCTCTGTGCCACGAGAGAAAGGCGGTAAAGATGAGTGATAAACTGAAACCAGCCAGCACGGGTCGTTTTATACCCTGTAACTTCTTTAAGATGGATAGCAAAGACAGGTGCAGTATTAGTACTGCCATTTGCTTTGTTATTTTTAAGGCATACCAACTCTATATCAAATTTTGCAAGCTGCTTGAGTGGTGATTTTACTCAATGTTTAATGAATTTAGTGAGAGAATGCGAAGCCAGTCTAAAAATAAAAAATTATTTTGGTATTTTTATTTATGAAAGATCATTTGTGAAAAAGTATTTGCTTGTCAAAAATTCAAAACTCTTGTGGTTGTTTAATGTGCCCAGGGTGTTCTTTTGAATATAAATAATAATTGTAGACATGATGTTTCTTTAGGGAAAAGTTAAGATCTTTGATTAGAATTTTAAGGCTTTTTTTCTTACAGAAAAGCTTTCAAAGCTTTCGTAAAAAAAAATTTTGGTGGTAACACCATTCTTTTGCATAAAAAAGGGTGCACTTTATTCAAAAACAAGTCTCAAGAATTTGCGTTTGATAGCTGTAGTGGTTACTGAAAAAATATTCCTTTTCTTACGAAAGAAGTGTTTTTGAGAAAATACCATTTAAAGTTAATGCTGCCTTCTAGCTAGGATAAAACACTCTTGCTGCATTTTCTTTGTCATTGTTCATAATGTCGACCAAGTAAGGTCTACTTTGCGATATTCAGGTGAACTTTCACCTGCGTAATCAAAACAGAAATCTTGCCGAGCACTTTCAAAACCTGGCAGCACTTCCACTCACTGGTGGCATCTCGGCGAGTTGACTGTACACTTAAAGGTATTGCTACCCAAGAATTTTCACTTCTTGTGCCGGTTTAAGGAAAACCAAGGCATTGATGCATGATTAGTGTGTTCTTTAAACAGATCACAGCTTTGAGCCGCCCAAAAAGGGCAAGAATTGCAGAACGCACAAGCACGACGTTAGTTTAGTAACTGGAGAAACATGAATTAAACAAACTGTAATGAATCTGAATAACGGGACCGAGTGCTCCCGTTTATCACGTTCGCTTATAATACCGCCATTCAAAGCACTACCGGGTTCTCTCCTTTTTTCCTCTTTTACGGACGCAAACCTTCTTGCACTATGGACACCATTCTTTCGTACAAACCTGACTCCTCAGAGTCCACGACTTTGTCTCAAGCCGCTACATACGCTGAAGAATGCTGCCAACTGGCAAGACCATTCACAACCCAAGACCAAGGACGCCAAAAGCACCACCATGACGCATCAAATAACACTACTTCGTACGATCCAGGTTCACTCATCTGGCTGCATGTCCCTTCTGCTACACCTGGCCTTTCTACCAAGTTGGTCCCCAAGTATCACGGCCCTTATCATGTGCTACAAAAAACGTCACCAGTGAATTACCTCATTGAGCCACTGGAACCATCTTCTGACCAACGTCGTCGTGGCCAGCAAATTGTCCACGTCTCGAGACTTAAGCCCTGCTACGACCCTCCCGTGTTTACTTGTCCATAGGTCGCCAGGATGGCTCCTTATTTCGCGGGGAGTAATTGTAATGAATCTGAATAACGGACGCTCTGCTGGTAATGAAGAAGACGAGGAGGATCGGTGGCTGTAGTAGTAGCTCGCGCACGCCGCTTGCCATTAGCCAGACCTGCCTGGTAAAGCACATTTTGCCAAGCTGCGTCTGAACCTTTCTCGACGTACAACACCTCTATTTTAAAACTTTTGCATGCGAACTTAAGCTATCGCGACCCTCTCCAACTGAGAACTGAACTATTGAAATAGCTTGTTTAGCTGATTATACTACCATTGTAAGTGATTACGCATATAAATGCTATTGCGTGTCCTTACATTCACAACAAAACAGATGCTACAATGCCTCCGGAACTCTCGCCGTAAATAAGTGCAGTCATGTGGTCATGCGTATTTGGCGCCATTTTTAAATGACTTCCGTTATTCATATGAACGTGCCACTTCGTGAAAACTCTTGTCAAGAATGCTGGGATATCATGCCGTGAGAATTAAATAAACACATTTTAGTTTATTCGGCCCTCCATTCCTCCATAACAAAGAACTTGTTGGCAAAGTTCTTGTGGCAGCAGGTTCACATTGTACAAGTGCTCAGTTATTTCTCTACTAGAAATTTTAGATTGTGAGGTTGTTTTGACTGCGAGTCGTGTAAAAAATTTGACATTACTTTCGCGCCTATACTTTGAACAGCAAGGTCGAAAGCTGGGCATTTTTGTTTTATTTCTATGCTTCTCTTGATAAACTTGTCAGTTGCGAAAGCGTTCCAAGTGTCCACTTTTTGTCCTGTAGCTTGCGACACTTTGGAGCACTTGGATGACCTTGTCGAAGTCCACATAGCCAAAGTCAGTGACGTAGGTCTTTAGCACATCCATTGCATGACAGTTTGCAATGTATCAGGCAGGAATGTTGCAGAAATGATTTGCCAAAGAAGATTGTGATACACATGTGACTCTGTGGATTCTTTGCTTTGGCCAGATGTCAGAAATGTTATAGGTGGGAAAACGTATCGGTGAGAAATAAACAGGTTCTATTGTGTGCACATGTGTATGTATAAGAAAATAGAATGAAGCAGATGAGCAGAAATTACAAAATTCAATTTCATATTATGAAACATGCCTAAAGAATCACTCCAGCTCTAGGGTAATACATTCATAACTATGGTGGCTGAGATAATATTTAGTGATTGGAAAAGAATGTGATATAATGGGGGAAAAAAAAACTTTCTCCCATTTCAGGTTATGTATCTCTGAATAAAAAACAGTTTCTTTTTGTTGCTGTGGGTCAGTTACTTTCGGCGTGTGTTTTCATCATATATTTACGGGGCCATGTTGAGCGTAACTTTACAGCCAACTTGAGTTTTTCTCCCAGCTTCCCTGTGAGCCAAGCTGCAAGCAAACCTAACATTCAGTGTTGAGTTCTCACTTGAACCTCCAAACAGTGGGTCCCGAGTTCCACATACATTAGTTCTCTATTACCTTCGTTTGTACTGGTACTCTTTGTTGGTATCGCAATTCAAGTTTTTTTTCTATGGAGAGAGCTACTTATATGCGATGGCAGTAGAAATCAAAAGAGCTTACAATTGACACCAAGGTGTGCCACATGTAGTGGCAAGAAACACTGGATGCTTCACTAAACTTCTAATTGTAGACAGCATGAAAACTAAACTGTTGTTATCGGGCACTTTCACTTCAGTCTGTTTTCAAGCAGAAGCTCGGGTGTGCGCTGCTGTAAAAAGAAACAAAAGAAGCTACAAAAAGAATGTTGGCAAGGTTTCAAACAAAGTGGCTAATATATGCCTTTTCTTTTTTTTTAATGTGCCCACTGTTTTCTATATTATAAAGCAGTTGCAATAGATTTGCACCCTCTTTTGCAGCTGACATCGGCCTGGCTGAATTTGGTCGCAAGGAGATCATCTTAGCTGAAAATGAAATGCCTGGGCTTATGGCGCTACGTCGCAAATATGGACCGACGAAGCCATTGAAGGGTGCCCGAATTGCTGGTTGTCTACATATGACCATTCAGACTGCTGTTCTCATTGAAACATTGCTTGAACTTGGAGCTGAGGTAAGAAGGCTGTAGGGGGACCACTGGTTATCTATTTGTGTATAACCAAAGAAAAAAAAGTATCTGCTGCTGTAGGAAAAATTTGATCTCTATTAATAATTTTTGATAATTTCCTAGTATACCATTCCTCAATGTGAAGAGAAAAGATTATGGGGTTTTATTTGCTGAAACCATTATGTCATAAGATGCACCGGAGGAATAATTTTTATCAACATAAGCGTTTTTGCATTTTGCCTTCATAAAAATACAGAGGCGGCATTTGGAATTGAACATGCGGCCTTGAGCTCGGCACTACAATACCATAACCATTTGTCTACTGCGGGAGGCCTTGCTTAAGATAGAGGAGAATGATACAACTATAGAAATTTAATATCAAGGAGAATAATATAACTATTGACCCATTCCATGTTTGTAAACACAGGTAGGCTGATGTCGACATTATGGGTAAAATTATAGCGACGTCCGCACGTAACTTCCTCCATAAGCGCTGAGGGCTGCGATGTGCGCCAACAAAACGACGTTGTGAGACGCCATAAGCGCTGAGGACTGCGATGTGCGCCAACAAACAAAAATAAGTTGTGAGACGCGACGCAGCTCGTCGGCATACCATTTTTTTCTTCTCGTTGCTTGACTGAGAACACCACATGCACTGTTTAAAGCCGAGCAGAAACTGCGGTAGGCAGAGCGTCTTTTGCCTACCAAGACAGTGCCACCGCATTTTCGTGGTGTAAGTCCGGTGGAATTTGTCTATAGAAATGAAGGCGGGCATGTGGCTAGTAGTATAGGAAGAACTATTGTGGACATAGGGCAACTGGATGGAAAAATAAGAATGCGTAGGACAGTGTTGGATGTCATCCATGCTGGTGCTTTACTCTACCAACTAAGTATGAATTCTCATTATTTTATTTTAAGTATCTGGGAAGTCACTTGCAGAATTTTTAATTGTTCTGGCTAAAATGTCAGTCTCAAATGCAATGCAGTTCTGTCATGTACAGTGTTGCCGCAAGATATGTGTTCTTACTGGCTCTTGTTTGGAAATTGAAGTAGGCAAGGTTCACTACTCTTGCCATAAAAACTTTTCTGCAAGCTTCCATAATGATTCAAGGCACTCAGCTTGTTTGGCAGTGGAATATAGATGAATTGTTTCATGTTTACAAGTTTTGACTGTGATACTTTGTCACTCTTGCGTAAGTGAGAAGAAGGGAAGAAACTTTAGTATGTTAAGTAATGCTAGGTGGCTTGGATTAGTTCTAAAGCTTCCACTACAACTAGGTGAAATTGCAGTAATATGTAAAACAGCTTGATCCTTAAAATAAAGTACTCTATATTCTCTACCTTTCTGGTTTTTGCTTTCTCGGTACTCGACTACCATTTTCATGTTTGACTGACTTCATGATTTTGACATCAAATATTGCCTTGACAGTTTCACTTATTGAATTAAATGCAGCATTTGTATAATTAGTTTATAGTAATTATTTTTTATTCTTTAGGTTCAGTGGTCAAGCTGCAACATATTTTCCACACAAGATCATGCTGCTGCAGCCATGGCCAAGCGTGGTGTTGCGGTTTATGCATGGAAAGGAGAAACGGAGGAGGAATACATTTGGTGCATTGAGCAGGTATGAAATGTATGGCTTGTAATAAACAATTTCATTTGTTGTAAGGCATTGCTAAGAGCTTATCTTTACATAATTAAAATTTGGTCTGTCCCTTCTGTCTCTAGTATAGTTACAGCAGTGACACACAAGCATTTGTGTGTTGCTGCTGCAGAACTTTACACGGAAGTACTGTCAGCTGTACGTTATGTGGAAAAGCTAATGAAAGTCTGACATTAACTGTTAAAGGAGTATAAAACAGAATTACTCTGTGAAAATGTTTGTATGACTTGTTTTCCTCTGTACTATACTTAAATATCTGACCAAGCATCGGGCAAAATTTTTTTTTAAATGTGGTCTGAAAGGGCCCCCAAACCACCTCCGGCATCTTTTCACACTCTTCAGATAGACACACATCATGTACACAATGCGGTGATCATCACAGCATTCTGTACATGGGACATAATGTTTGCTATTCATATATTTAGGCCAGTGTTGCATTGAAATGTGAAAATGTTCCCATTGCACAGAGAATGGATTCCAGGACCTATTTCTGGCAGCATACACCACTGAGGTGTCCAATCTGCCACAAAGAAGTGGTTGTTATGCCCATACTATGGCGTCTTCGTCAGCTTCATGGCTTTTAATCTACTAGTGTTGACATCATTGCTATGTCTTATTTTCCTGTTTGCTTCAAAGCTGTAACTGACTTTGCTCTAAAATCAACTATTGACATTCTCATGTTGCTGTTGCTGCCATATTAGTCTCCTCACAGTAATTTCACATTGAGGAAATATTCTGATGTTTGTGGGGTCAATGAAGTGGTGCCGACATATGTGGTGCAAGCGTGGCTTAGCCAGTTCACCATTGACTGTTGGAAGCAGCGCGCTGCAGTTGAACAAGATTTGTGGTAGAACTCAAGTTAGGGCGCACATGTTTGACAGTGGTCATCACTTCTAATAAAAATTATTGTTTGTGCATCACTTTCGCCCCGCCGCGGTGGTCTAGTGGCTAAGGTACTCGGCTGCTGACCCGCAGGGCGCGGGTTCGAATCCCGGCTGCGGCGGCTGCATTTCCGATGGAGGCGGAAATGTTGTAGGCCCATGTACTCAGATTTGGGTGCACGTTAAAGAACCCCAGGTGGTCTAAATTTCCGGAGCCCTCCACTACGGCGTCTCTCATAATCATATAGTGGTTTTGGGACGTTAAACCCCACATATCAATCATTGTGCATCACTTTGCTTTAGTGGGCATTATTTTGTCTGGTTTAGAAGCTGTAGCTCATGTTAAAATTACTTGTGTCTACTACGCGATAGTTTACCATTCGTGCATGAGCTTGTGCATACCTCACCTGCTTCAGTCACTTGTGTAGCAGGCGGTGTGCCTGCAGAAATGCTGTGAATTTTCAGCACCTTGCATGTAGCATATATTCTATGCCCTCATAGGCTAGTGCATTGCCACAGCCTATGGAAAGAATGGGCTGGTGTGGCTCAGCAGCAGAAGCTCGTAGCCCAGATGGACAGTTTCATCAGCAGAAAGGGATAGTGCTTTAAACAAGCAAAGGGTCACTTGTAACAATGCAGTGTACATGTGCCGTTCAGACGAGCATAATACAAGGAGGAGAAACTGACCGATGTGAGACAAATGAGCAGCACAGTAGACTCTCAATAATTCAAACTCTGATAATTAATACTTTCAGCTAATTCAAATAAAATTAAATTTTTTGGTTGGCCCTCTATTTTTTTTTCAATGTATTTAAAAGACTTTTAATTCAAACTCTATCATTCGGATAATTCATACTTTTTGCAGTTCCATACCAGAAAATATCCGCTGCTTTTCCACTACTGTTTAAAATTTGTGTGCTTATATAATCTTAACAGTCTAAAAATGAAAAATAAGCACCTCGGACAGTTAAGGAAAAAGGCTTTGCTAGTAAACAAATGTTTGAAACAAAGCACACGCATGATAAACTATGATAAACTGGTATAGAGAGCTTTGTGCTGAAGGCATATACCCATAGCAAAGAAGCAGTTGGCAATTCACAATTTCTTTAAAAGGTCTGATCAAGAGTAAATGGTCAATAAACTTGCGGACTTTACACCTCTGCTTTCTGTTCACTCCGTGCAGATAGGGCTTGAAAACAATTTTAAATGCAATAAAATCAATGCCTAATCATAATGTGTGGTGTCACCTCACCCATAGTCATCTACCTGAGAACTTCTAATAATTCAAACAAAGTTCAGTGGTCTCCTTGAGTTTGAATTAACGAGAGTTGACTGTATTTATATTGTCAATTAAAAAATGCGTTTAGCTTTGCTATTATGGCATCATTTTGTAAACTTGCTGCGACTGCATGTTCCTTGTACTCTTACACAGTGCTATAGCATAACCACTTTTGGATTTTTGGGTGGTTTAGCAGCGCGTTAATGTGGCAGGAATGGCCAATTTAAAAGCATAGTACATTATTATGTGTGCTTTGACTCCTAGAAATGTAAAGTATTTGAGGAAAGGAATTTGTCCAGCCACATCAATGCCGATTGAGGAGGAAATGCAGGCATTCAAGCACAAAATATTGTGCTTCTGGCATTTCCCATAGCTTGTGTGCCCTTTTGTAGTCGAAAAGAATAAAAATTATATCTACTCGTATTGCATAAGATGATTGCAATTTCATCTGATAATGTCAAGAAATAAAAGCAGTGGACAGTGGACTAAACAACGTACTTTATGCTGAGGAGTTACTACCATGTAATTTGAAAATGGTGAGCCTCTGCACAGGAAATGCCATGCATGCTTTGCTACGACTGCGAGTTATCTTGTACAACAGAGTTGTGCCCAGTGCCATGAGTTGAGCAGGACACCCGACCACGCGCAGTTTTGCCTCCTGAATAATTCTTGCTCTGTGCTTTTATCGCACTTGTTATGGTCCACAAAAATTGTTGTTACTCTGCTTCACAAGCTGTTTCATGTATATTCGAGCAGCGAGCATACCTTTTTTTTTGCAAATGAAGCTTCCATTGCCACTGAATATTTTTCTTTGTGTGGCTTTTTGCAGACTTTAGTTTTCCCAGATGGCAAGCCACTCAACATGATATTGGATGACGGAGGTGACCTAACGGCTCTTGTTTCTACCAAGTATCCCCAGTACCTTTCTGGTATGTACTGTTCAGGAAACAGTGTCGCGAACTTGGTTGGCTGTTCGCCTACTAAAACTTTGCTGCTTGAGCACTTGTCGCATGTTTTGCTTCAGAGACAGACTTAATGCTGTGGCAAACCAAGTTGAAAAAGGCAATCAATATTTTTACTCAAATAGCAGTGAAATATTGTGAATATAGCATGAGCAGCAGGCATTTTATTGCAACATCATTTGTATGGACACTTCAGATGCATTTTTGCCATTGCCATTGGCATCACCACGAGGTTTCACATGACGTCCATAGGCGATAACATAGCCCCGCACGCCATATGTCTTATGTGGGAGGGAAAATGTGCATGGGCAGCCTACAATCGCAGCTCATATGGAGATTAAACATGCTGGCTGTCTTTTGGGACCTTTTTATCAACACAGCCATCTTGTGAGCATTGTGCTGCATGGCAAGTGTATGAGGCCCTTTCAGTGAATTTATCCCTAATGATATTGGGAACAGATAGAACTGTAGACATTTTTGCTGATGCTTGAAGAGGAATATTTTTCACCCAGGTCAAGTAGTAGTTTTACAGAAAAAAATGATCATCAAATGCGGATTGAAATGGCACAGAATACCATATTTTCGCGCATATAACCCGCATCGAAAACCCAAAAATTTCAGTGGCAAAGGGGAGGTGCGGATAATATTGGGGTTTTTCCTATAGTGCTGCTTCACAGCAATGTGTGTTGTGCTGTGAAGCCCCTTAACAGTGTAGCGAAGGCTACGGAGGCGGTTTCCGCAAATTCGTGTTGCTCCGCAAGTAGCACGGCAGCTTGCGGCCGATTTTGGTTTCGCTTGCTTGCATCGTTGAAGCGTTTAGAAAAACATTTGGGGAGAGACAATTCGATTGTTCAGTGTAAAATCTCACTGTCACACCACAAGTATATTTTTTGGACTTTCGCGGCCGCTCAGTGACCCTCCACATGTCCCTACGTCACGGACGCCATGTTTACTTTTGGAAAGGGCTTGCCGAAAAGGTGGTGCTGTCTAAGAAAGTTCCATAATAAATAAAGTAAGTTCCATAATAAATAAAGCAGTATTTATTTCAGCAAGGCAAATGAGATATTATACTGCCCATAGAGATATTATCAGTAAATTAATGTACTACTTTTTGACGCGGTAGCAGGCATGCATTTCAATTCTGTTGTTTCCAGGGTGCTGTTACAGTGTACTAGAAGGGGTAATGCTGTCAAGTTGTCGCCGAGTGTGAGCGCTCTTTACCTCGCTGATACCGCTAGTTCTCCACATCTCGACCCATTCGCCAAGCCTAAGTCGATCTGTTCTGTCACCATGAGTAGCGCACGGCGGCAGGCCTTCACAGCACAGCAAAAGCTATTGCATAGTTATATTGTTATATAATGGCTTGATTTGACATTGTTTTGATTGTCAACGGCACTGGCTGTCATACTGAAATAAAATGAAGACACATTAAAAGTTTTTTTTTTTCTTTTTTTCAAGGATCAATGAGGGGTGGGTTCATTATGCGAGTGGGTTCATTACGCGAGTGAATACGGTATATCATAGATGCATCCACTGTGGAGTGCCGTGCTTCTTGAGTGAAATAAACTAGGGTAACCTTCCATGTGAATCGATCTCTTCATGTTGACTATGATAATTCTTTTAATTATTCAGATACTTACAGCGCCCGATTGGCATTATTGTAGGGGGGAAATAAAAAAAATACATAATACATTACAGGTGGTATACAACAAAAGGTAACATAAGATCAGCAATATGTTGAGATTACAGATGACATGACATATGTACAAATAACACACGCACGCACACACATGCACGCACACACACACACACACAGGCCCCGCCACGGTGGTCTAGTGGCTAAGGTACTCGGCTGCTGACCCGAGTACCTTAGCCACTAGACCATCGTGGCGGGGCCTAGTGGCTAAAAATGCAGCCGCCACAGAGTGGCGGCTGCATTTCCGATGGAGGCGGAGGAAATGTTGTAGGCCCGTGTACTCAGATTTAGGTGCACGTTAAAGAACCCCAGGTGGTCAAAATTTCCGGAGCCCTCCACTACGGCGTCTCTCATAAGCATATGGCGGTTTTGGGACGTTAAACCCCACAAATCAATCAACACGCACACACACGCACACACACGCACACACGCACACACACACACACCACACCACACCACACCACACCACACACAGAGAGAGAGAGAAGAACCCCGCTGATACGTTTTTCACGGGACTGTAAAAAAAAAAAAAACGTAGGAGCCGGGAATTTTCTTCCTTAGGCCTGTTGCTCCAACAAAAAGTTTGTGAAAGAGCTTTAGGGGCATGTATTTCTGTCTATCCTGCAAAGTCTGACATCTGAGATCAGCTCTAATATCGGAGGAGCTTATCGTAAAGTCGTAGTTTAAGGAAACAAACCGTACTGCATGGTTCTGAATGCGTTCCAATTGGGCAATGCAAGTCTTTGTACCTGGGTTCAATGCGGAGCATAGTATTCCAAAATAGTGCACTCATTTGAAAAAGAAAGTTTCTTTCAACTTGCCTAGGAGGAGCTTTCTTGAAGTTATGCCTTAGAAAGTTTAGAACACGGCCAGCCTTAGCTGCTACGTAATTAATGTGGTCATTTCATGAAAGGTAATCCTTATGCAAAATGCCTAAATATTTGTAATTTGATTCAATCGACAGGTTTTCATCATCAAGACAATACTTGCTGTCAAAAATGTGACGTTTGTTATTAAACCGGGCACCTTTACATTTAGAAAAATTCCGCCTCGTATTCCATTTATTGCACCACAGTAATATCACGTCTAGGTTGCTTTGTAATTGGGCATTATCACTCAAAGAAGTAATTTTACGGTAAGGACAACTGTCGCAGGCATACAATCTGCGATGGCTTAATACCTGTTCAACTATATCATTAATAAAAACTAGAAAAAAGTGGCCTCAGAACCGATCCTTGCTGGACACCTTATCAGGTGTCCAGCAAGGATTGGTTCTGGGGCTACTTTTTGATAAGGTGGATTGGTTCTGGGGCCACATTTTGAATGGGACCTGATAAGGTGTCTTGCAATGGGACGAGTTCATCTATATGATGAACTCGTCCCATTAAGAACAACACACTGTTCTTGGTTTCGGCCAGCAAGATAGGCCTCAATCCAATGTAAAAGAACCGTAAGAATATTTAGTGCAGACAGCTTTCTCAGCAAGAGAATATGTGCTACAAAATCAAAAGCCTTTTGAAAGTCCAAAAAGATGCAGTCAACCTGTTTACTCTTAAGTGATGAGGCTATGTTGTGAGAAAATTCAATCAATTTCGCGTCACCTTCTGAAACCATGCTGTGCTTTGCTGAATAAATTTTCTTGAATATGAGCCATCAAATTCGAATAAATAATGCGCTCTAGTGCCTTACACGACACAATAGTGAGTGAAATAGGTCTATAATTTCTATTTTTTATGTTATCACATAGGTACGACATTTGCAGTTTTCCAGTCGTTTCGAAAGATTCCAGAATAAATGACTTTTGAAAAAGTATTGCCAGGAAAGGGGCAAGTGGCACTGCGCAGTTTTTTTATTACATAGTTGGAAATGTTACCAGGTCCTGGTGCTGACTTCATGTTCACTTTTAGCAGTAGACCTGCTATTCCCTCTTCTGAAAAGGTTATTGTGGTTGTAAGGGAGAGGAAAAAGGCACCTAATTTCTGTCTGCCTGAGCGGCGACACGGCGCAGTGCCTTATAGGGGTGGTGGAAGGAGGGATAAAAAGAATAGGAGGAAATAGATGAAGCGACGGAAAATAGGAGATAGGAAAGTGGGGATCCGGTCGAAGCAGTCCAAGGGCGGGGCACCACTATGCGAGAGCTGCACGGCGTCAGGAGACTGCGGAGGGCGAACCAGTCGGCGGGAGCTACGCTGGCGTCGGAGATTGCGAGGGCACGACCGTCCAGCTTGAAATCCTCCGAGCGAATCCAAATCCCTGAAAAAGTTACCTCACTCATCTGAGAGAAACGCTGAGTATTTTGTACTCCACTGGCCTGAGGGGTAGACTGTAAGAATACCAATTCGAAGTAGCTGTTAAACTGTTCAGCCTTCCTTTTGGGGTCATCACCATAGTTGCCGTCTATAACATCTGGAATAGCGTCCTTTGAACTTTGTTTGCTTCCGACGTACTTCATACTTCTTTCAGGTTAGTCCTTGTTTTGTCACCTTGTGTTTCTAGATATGTGCCTTCTGCCTTTTGCATTTCTTTTGCTATTTCTTTTCAAAGTTTCAAGTCGCTGTTAAGGTCAGGTTTTGGCGATCTGTAGTATCGGCGGTACAGGTGGTGTCGTCTATTAATCGAAGCGCGAATATTTGTGCTCTTTCGCTATTTATCGGCTTGGCAATTGGATATAATCTCTTGTGACACGAATGACAGTGTTAGCGATAAAATGGTGGCTCTTAGCTTATTTTATGTGGGTTCTACGTCGATCGAAGAAGCAAGCTTTTCGAAAACTGGCAAAAATTCATCGAGTTTGCATGCCAGTGAAGCGTAGTCTGCCTTATCATAGCAGAAGACCTGTCTTGGTAATGGATTACGGCAACACGTTCCAAGGCAAGATAGATGTGCATGAACGATCTCATGATCACTTACACCTGATAATAAATCAACAGACCAAATGAGAGTACGGTCGGAACAGAACAATAAGTCTAACATATTAGCTGAATTGGGAGTTATTCTTGTAGGAACTTGTACAAATTAAAACAGAGAATCTGCATCTATGGTTTCTCGAAATGCAGAGTAAATAGGTGATGGAGTACTGGGATATCCGGCTGTAGACCGATCCAGTTTATGTTTGGCAAGTTGAAATCGCCCCCTAAAACAATATACGTTGCATCCAAGGACAGCAATATGTTGTTGAACTCTTATAAAGGTTGAGGAGAATTGGAACCAGGTGGCCTATAAAACGACCCAACTACTAACGATTGTAGGACCATCCTCACTACCATTAGTGAGGATGGTCCTACACCAGACTGTCTCACATGATGAGTGTTCAATGTTAATATGTGTACTATCCAAGCTGTTGTGTATCATCACAAAAACCCCATCACCTTGTACGTTACGATCTTTATGATAGGTTCTGTAATTAATTAGATAGAAATATTTCGTTGTTATTGATAGTGCTGTCTAACCATGTACTCGATATACTCTTATCGTGTATAGTTTTCAAAGCTTTATATGGACACTAAAGGTAAATATTAAGTCGATGTTGATTGCTAAAATAGCGGCCCAAAAACCTCGCAGTGCTACTTTTGTGTCAAAGAAGTGGGTATTTTGAATCGCATTTTTGTTGTCTGCATCGCGTCAGCACACTTCAAATCCTTTGCCTTGAAGCGGTCTGTCTCGCGTCACTGTTGCCATGGACAAAGTTGCCCAGCTTTAATGCACAGCCGCTGACACTACTAGCAGCAGAGCAAAAGTAGTGGGAGCACAACAGCAACTGTTTCCATTGAACAATTTTATGCCATCTTGGAGGTCATGATTCTTCTTGCTTGGTTCACCTGGGCTCCACTATATGGCACCACCTATCCAGCCCAACAGGCGAAAATGGAATTCTTGAACCATTTGTGCCATTCCCTGTAGTAAAGCCAGGTGGTCCTTTTCCTTTTATGTCAAACAGAAACGGAGAAGCAGCATTTTATTACGTCTCTTGATGCACGGAAGGTTCTTTTTTATTGCAGCTAGTTTGATTACTAGTGATTCATTGTAGTCGGATGCTCTGATGTCATCGGGATCATTTCCAAACTATCTTACTTGTGGAGCCCATTGTGTGGTACATTTAGCTTAATTTCTCGGTGAGTAGGGCACTGCTGTTGTTGATATTGATGTTTTAGACGTCATACATTGAGCTTTCATTCTGACAAATTATTTGCCTTTAGTGTCCCTTTAATCCCAGTACACTGCATACAAGTTGAAAAGAAATAGCATAAAGCATAAGAGAACACCTAATAAACATCAAAAATTTTTATAGAACAATTCCGGAGCAAGCAAACATGCCATGCGTTTGCGCTTGCCATTGATTCTTTGCCACAGTACATACTATATTGTGGTGAAGCCAAGACATGAGGTTCTTTCATTTGAATTGCCTCATTGATAGCTGCTTTTTGACTGTAGGCACATTCACTTCATTTGCAGCAGAATATTCTGTTTGCATGGTAAATTAATTTGTAGCAAATAGTTATACCCTATTTACTGTTGCAAGTAATCTCTAACACAATTTTTTTCTGCTCCAAAGCAGGTTTCGTCCTGCTCCAGAATTTACTGAATATCTTAAACTGGCTGGATCACCTCTGCGTATAAACCGACATTTAAAGAGGCACTAAAGTGGAAGGATGAACCACTTTAGATTGATAAATTGTATCCTGAGAACTCTAATGTCGTTAATTTCACCATCATATGTTTATTAAAAGAGGATAAAGTGAAGGTCGAAGTTTCAGTTTTAAATTTCACGCCGTGTATCCCCACGTGTGATGTCATAGATTTTAAATTGTATTTTTGTATTTTGGTGACATGGGCTATACGAAATTTTTTGAAACATCTTATGTTGAGTCGGCAATCCTCTCATAGAAAATGTACTTCATTTTTACTGATAGGGAACTATGTGTGACCAAGAAGACTCTTTTAAAATCTACGATATAACTGCGTTTGGTGCGAGAATATTGAGGTCCAGATTTCTTTTTTTTTTAATATTTGGGTTTTCTAACTTGGGTTTCTCACTTGCCAATAGTCTAGTGGTATAAGTGGTGTTTTGGGTATTGTAAAATAGTCCTTATTTAAAAGCAACAGCTGGGCTACACAACACACTGTCATGCTTAGTCTCACAACCCAGCTATTCTATTGCTTTTCTAAAATGCCTAAAATGTCAGTATGACTTATACATAGCAACACTTTAGTGATAATGATAATAAGAAGAAGGGTAGATTTCAAACACAAGCCCACTGATCTAATAAGGCCTCAGTGCAGTTAATTACAAATTTAATAAACCTACCCATGTAGAATGTTTCAACCCCACGAAACTACCCAAGAATAATATTCCAGTGCATTACAAGATGGAATAAAATACAGCTAGTGCATTTCAGTCTGATTCGTGTAAAAAGGAACTGTTGAAATTTTTTGTGAGAACTACGCAATTTCAATTTTTGCTGAGCTGTGCTTTGCTAAAGCTCTTTGCTTCATAGTGCCACAGTGCCAGCTGTCGGGCAGTAAAGTGAGTCGAGGGTGGGCATGGTCATGCCAGAAGGCCATTCTCAGAGGCAGGCAGCTTGAACAAACGGTGTAAGAGCTGCTAACATGTGATTTTCCTTCTATCTAAGCATTTTCTTGGCATGAAACAAGCACTACAAGGATTTTGGAACACTATTTCAACAATCTGCATCAACCTATGATTTGCATTTAGTGTCCCTGTAAGTCCTGGTCATTTCAATAATCAGTAACACATTTGCTGTCACATCTTCCTTCATTGTAAAAGGGTGGAAGCGTTGCGCCAGGCTGTGCATAAACGGCAATAACTATGATAGTTGTTGATTGTGTAATCCGCCAAATCTAGCCGCATATTATCGTCAACCGTGCAACACTGAGCGTTGGCTGCACCAAGGGCATGGTTACATTCGTATCCAATGGAGTTCGATCACGTTTCAATTTGGTTGATTCGTGGGGCTCTCATTGCTGTTATTGCCGTGGTTGCTCCACAAAAGTGGTGGAACCAACATGAGTAACTGGTAATTATCTAGTAATACAGTGAAACCTCAATGATTTGTAACAACCGGGAACGCGTCACGATCATGCAGTTAACGGCAGTGCGTGTTTACAAGTGCAAATGTGCATCTCCTGACGCGCCCCATCGCCACCAAAAAACGAATACAGTATTACTGCAGATGTCGCCCCAGGTGCTTACCAGAAAGTCTTTTCTTCCTTTTTGCCAGAGTGTGGAAAAAATCATACCGGGCTGGCACTCTTGCACGATTGTTTTATCACGGGCAGTGGCGATGCCAAGGAGCATTTCGAAACTATTACAGGGTCCGGGATAGGCAGCGGCTGAAATAGCGACTGAACACACACTACCAGTTTTCCGCGATACATATGTGGGTTTCTCTACCTCGATCTGATATCAAGCGATAACCGACAGTTTCATTTAAACAGAGAGGTCGCGTGCACTCAAATCATCTCCTGGTTAGTTGCGTGCAGCGCGCCGCCTATGTCGCCCACACTGTCGCTGCTGAGTGGCTCGCTGAACCGTGTCCGAGGATTTGCTGTGTGAATCGCTCGTGCCCACTTCGCTCCACACCAAGCACAGATGAGCAGAGTAGTGTGTCGTCGGGATAAGAAACTACCGCCAAGTGAAGTGCACCACAATTATCTATATTCCGTTTCACACATTGAGTGCAACGCTGCTGAGGCTAGTGAGACTCCTTGTAGTAGATACGTTCGTGTGAAAAATATTCCCATGTTTTTACCACGCAGAATATATTTTTGTTTCAGGCTGAGTATGAAATGGCTATGTTTTGTAACGCATATACAACACCCACACACAAATGCACGCAGGTGATAAGTGTGGTAAATGTTTGGTGAAAACCGTTGGAATTTTTTTTACCAAAAATAATTTGACGATGATGCGGGACCCTAGAAAGCTGCTCCAAAATACCTTTTGGCGCTCCTAACCTGCTCCGAAACTCCCCTTTTACTGTGCCAAAGCTGCTCCAAAACAGCATTATGTCTGCTCCCTGAGCTGCTTCCAAAACACTTAAGTTCACTTCGACCCCTAATTGTACTACTTTTTAGTTTTTATCCACATCCCATTGGTTGTAAACAGGCTGGCGAGTTCTGTATGACTAAACTCACGGCAAAGTCTGCTATGTAATATATTAAAAGAAAATTTCACTTGGATCATCATCTGGTTGTGACATGACTGTCTAGGAGGAGGACAAAATTTTTATTGCGAACAAATTAAGGTTGTTTTTTGATTGTGCGAGGCGACGACGGTTAGTCGGCCAGTACTCCCTGTTCTTTAGCGACTGCCTCGGCTTGTCCTGTGATCCTAATTCACTGCTCATTATTTGACTTACATGGCTTGTGCTTAATCTGTCAGTGTGTGAACTTGCAGTTCTTTATCAGTAACTTGTGATTGCTAACTGCACAGCATTTGGAATAAAGTTGTGAGAGGGGGGGGGGGGGTGAGCTGTTGCTAATGTCAAGAAAAAGCTTTACCTATGATGCTTAGTTTTTATGAGGAGGATGCTTTGCTGCGACTGCAAGCCAACTTTCACAACAAAAGATGTGTCAGTCCCTTTGTAGCTGTTTCCGACCTATCCTTGTAATGATGTACTTTCTTTACCAGGCATTCGAGGCGTGTCGGAGGAAACGACTACTGGTGTGCATCAACTCTATAAGATGAAAAAAGAAGGGACACTTAAAATTCCCTGCATCAATGTGAACGACTCTGTCACAAAGGTGAGTAATTGGAAACAGGAATACGTTGCCATCAAAAGCTGAAGAGAAAAGAGCAAGGCAGGGAGGTTAACCAGATACTGAGATGCGGTATGCTACCTTGTGTTGGGGCTGGGGTGTAGGGTTTAAAAGAGATAGTCAACTACCTATCTTTTAAATGCCAAATTTTTGGGACATATCTGATACTCTTAAGGTTTTTTGTGATATTGTCACATGCTTCATAGAGTCGATATGTTAAAGATCTGAAATTTAGCACACTGTAGATGAAAAACACTGCAGTGTAAATCACTTGTATGCATCGTCCACTTTGTTGCCACAGCCCCATGTTCTGTGTCTTGGTCATTTCGAAGTGCTCCTTGGTACATAAACAACTTGGCACTGTCGCAAAGTTGTGGGAGATAGCTAGTATAATTTTGGGGGCTTGGTAAAATTGAAGGAGCCTTGTAATGGGCATATTAGGCAACATTTATAGAAAACAACGCTTCAATTTGTTTGCTGGCATTGGAAGCACTTTGCTTATCAGGAGATGCAACTTTGTACTTGGAAGTTTGTAACATTGGTGAAGTGATAAAAGGATGACATAGATTAGCGTGGAGTTAGTGTATAGCAAGTGGTGTTTATGATAGTACCCTGTACCCTATGCATTCATGAAAATTTACTGTGTGAGCACTCAGATTCCTGGCAGACCTTCAGAGCTACTTCAAACTTGGATGTGACAGTGTATCTCTTGAGTGAAATAGAAAAGCATGCATTTGTTAAATAGGGCATCAGTATGTGCTTGAACCTGCATAAAAGTGCAAAGTTCAATATAGTGTATTTACTCGCATAATGATTGCAATGTGGTAAAATGTGTCTTTATGCATATGAAGTGTCCGATGTACAAACGTTTATTTTATTTCTTGTGAAAGAAAAGAAAGACTTATTAATTCTAATGCATAATGAAGTTCAATACACTGGTGCAAGGCTGTGCCTAAATGCTTGTGTAGCCCACAGCTGGCATCGGAAGCTAGCTACACAGTTGGCACATTGACCGAAGGGCTCATAGTTCCCTTTAATCACAAATGGCAAACCACGTATGGAAGTGGTGCCATGAAAGTACCAACACACCATGAGCTATAAAAAATCTGAGTGCACCCCATGTGTTCTTTGCAAAATGCCATTAAACAGCTATCATTTGTCAGCAACAAAAGTACTTGACCAAACAGACATGTGGCCTTTGGCTTGTAGAATTTCGTAATCTATTGCTATGCGCTGTTTACAAACTTCACATGCAAGCATAAGTTAAACGCGTGTGGTGGGCTGGCTACCACAACTTTATATATTTCACAAACGTCTAAGTGTGCATCGTGCTGCTACTACCATAAGAGTGGGCCTCTCACTGTTCATACTTCTGACGTGTGGATGCACAATGCAGTTGTTTCATTAAATCTTAAACAATTCAAAATTTCTTCTCTAATTAAAGAAATAAATTGTGTAATAATGAGGCTAAATTGGGATTGGGTCACATTCATAATGTGTGCTTGTGGGACCTGAAAACACCCTTTTCGAAACCTAGTTTGAGAATCCATTGACTAGATTCTTGTGCTCAGCGGCATTAGTGCTTTCTAACATACTACCGACAAATGAACTATGTGATCGAAGGAATTAAGTAGTGAGAAATTACTTCCTTTTATTTCCAGAGCAAATTTGACAACTTATACGGCTGCCGTGAGTCGCTAGCTGATGGGATCAAGCGAGCGACAGACATAATGCTTGCTGGCAAGGTGGCTTGTGTAGCTGGATTTGGTGACGTTGGCAAAGGCTGTGCGCAGTCTTTGCGTGGCTTTGGATGCCGTGTGCTTGTCACGGAGATTGATCCCATCAATGCCCTGCAGGCTGCCATGGAAGGTATGTAGGCTTTGGATTATTTGTCAGCATTTACGCTGTTAACAAAAATCACCAGTGAGAAAATTGTGTTGCTGTTTATTTTTTTGTTTTTTGGCTGGCCCTGTGCATTGTCAGCAGCACTCGCACTGGTTGAATGCCCTACATGCTTGGAAGGGTGAGGCTGTGGGAAACATATTGAATATAGATGTCGAACCTTGAATTCTTATTGTGACCACCAAATCTGGCAAAAAAAAGAAAGGAATTTAAGGGCTCATTTTTTTTTTTGTTAGACAGAACTTCAAATGAAAACCAGCAGACAATGAAGGCAAAGAAGGTATAGGGGACATTGTTTGAATCTTTTATCTTTATTGTAGTACTTATGGTATAAATGTGAAAGTGGGTGAAAAGACAACTTGCTGTCAGCAGGGACTGAACCTGCAACCTTTGCATAATGCACACGATGCTCTACAAGTTGAGCTATGGCATCGGTCATCCTCCCTTTCACTTTATCAAGTATTGCTGTGCATGCAACCCGGGAGCGTTGGTGAGCGCTGCTTGTAGCCATGACGAGTGTGGGACACTCTTTTTTTGTCAGCTGGCATCATGTAGAACGAGATCTTTTTGAAAAGAGCACCACCAAATGTGATGTTCTCAAAGAGTAGTGATGGATGCTCTTGTAGTAAAAACTCGTTCACATGCTTCTTGCATATTAAAAGAATCTCTGTCACATATGGTAACTTGAGGCCACTTTGAGAGAGTGCACTTGGCCGAGAGTTTCGTTTGTACGCTGTCATGTAGTGTCTCGCTGCAAAGTGCACTTGCCCTCAAGTGCAATTCGCCATCTTCACTTTGCTGCGATGGAGTGTGTAGCCTCAGTAGCAGTGGCTTTCTCATAGATATGAAATTGCATAAAGTGGCACTCATAGTATTTTTAAGCCATTGTTTTGGTTATTAGGAATGCTGCTACGTATTAAAACAAGTCATGTCACAACAAGAAAACTTGTTGCTCCCGTCCTCGGGCAGTTCGCAGGCGCGTCTGCCACCGGGATGTGGGAGCACATGCCGTGCAATGGCCATGTCTGTCGCGTTGTTTACTTCCTTGCACATGTGTAGGTCAGTCATTTCCTAGTCGTTTGCGATGGCGTGTGCCACTGGTGCTACTTCTACGAAGACAATGTGGTCTGACGCTGAGACATGGGCGCAAAAATAGCAAATATATGTTGCGCTATCAATTCATCGATTGCCACTGTCATCTTTTCTAAAGTATACTTCACTTTGTCGTGCAGTAGTGCACCGCCGAGATGACATTCTGTGAGCGTAAGTGCGCTCGCTGTAAGCACGATTAAGTTGCCACGTGCAACAGGGGTATTATATATTATGAAAATTGGCAGATGTATAATATGTGTTATTAATTCTACAATAATGTAGTTTCAAAAATGCTGAACCTGGCATCACAGACTTCATGGTGATTTTGTGGAGCTCAGCAAAAGTTGTAGCCATGTATAGCAATATGGATAGGTGTTATGGTGTTGCATTTAAAATAAAAATATAATGCAGAAGTTCATTGGTCTAAATTATTGTCAATATGGCTAGTATGACTGCCATTTGACCCCCACCCCGCCTATCTGCATTGTTGGTCAATTAGTACACTGGTGACATCCTACCGAAAGGTGATCACCTGTTCTAAAGGCATTGTGCTGCCCAAAGGAAATGATGTTCACAGTAGTTTTATACCGGTTTCTTCTTGTTGGTGTTCACACGGGGGACCGCATTAGCGGAATGAAGTCAGCTACTGTATTTATAATTAGAGGCTGGATTTTTAGGCACTAAAGAAGCGTGTTTTAGGTGCCAAAGATAGGCAGGCAAAACACAGTTTCAGGCTTCCAATATCGAAAATATAGGCACAATATGTTTTCACATAAATTCAAAATATTTCAAACCAATACGTATGTGACCTGTATTTATGACAGGAAAGCAAAAATGTTATTGTTGATGATGGCACAAAAGTGCCAATGGCTGAACATATAATTGTGTAAGTGTCCTTTTTCTGCACGGTTTGTAGAAGATGGTCTCCAAGTTGTATTCTGTATCATGGTGAATCTGTATCTGGCGAGTTTACCGTGAAATCAACCCACTCCTGGCTCTCTTTATTTTCGGCATGCACGGAAGCAGATAGTTAGGCAATAAATAATTGGCTCCGTTTCTGCATGTTACACTGCAAATGTCGTCGAAAGACGATAGTCTTGCATCTGTAGAGAGTGAACAAAACGTTTATGTTATGTTCTGTGCAAGAAAATCGGTGAGTGCTATTTTGGAGGCGCTGCGTTAGAGCGCCTTGAGCATCCCAGCGGAGGCGAACGAGCGCATCGTCACATCACACGTGAGCCATGAGCGCTATCTGGCGGTTATCCTAGAAAATGAAGCGCGTTGCGTGCGCACCAGTCTCTGAGGTGATAAGGTGTAGAACACAAGGCGACGGGTAGGTGCCACCACCGTGTCATCTTAGCAAAGTGTTGGAAACACTTGCCTTTTCGTGCAAGCGTTGCATGGTCAGTGCAGCATGATAAGCGCTACGGTCCTTAAAATTACTTATGTATGCCTTTTCTAGTAAAATGCACATGCAGAATGTATACGTGTTGTTATGGTGCCCCAGACTTGTGCAATAATTGATTTTTAATTGACAATCGCACAAGTAGGAACGTTGAATCTTGAGCAATATTGGTGGGCGTTGCTGATGGGGTCGGCCGTTTGGAGTATCGTTTGGCCACTTTGGTGCCGTTTAGGGTACCATTAAGGGCCGACAAACAGACAAATGTACAGACAGACAGACGGAAATTTTTCTGTCGAAGGTCCCCAAGAAAGGCTATTGTCTTTAAGAGGACCAGAAGGGAGAGATCCTTCGAATTGGCCGGGGCTAATCGTGTCGAGTCAGCTGCTCCTCTGCTGGTGACCACCTTTAAAAGGCCCCTCACTAGGTCTGACCATTTTTGAGCCGACAAGTGTTTTGCATTGAATGGGCGCCCACAATCATGTCTGCCAATATAGGCAATGTTACTTGCCGTGGAAAGATGTGAAATTTCAAAATGAATACCATTGGCCCTCATCGCAGGGTCGCGACCTAAGATGGAGGGGTTGACGCACGTCAAGGAATGGTCATGCATGGTTATCTGAGCTCCGACGTCGCTCCTCTGCATAGAAATTCATGCTACATCGCCAGCTGTAGCGCATAACTCTGCAATAATTATTTCAGGAAACGTGGAATTTGTGTTATGTGTTGCTTGAATAGATTAATGAAAGTGGAGAGAAATAAAACACTAATAGAATTTGCGTGCATTTTATTTTCACTTCAAATCACAGCGAGATTTGGGGCTAATCTACCCCAATTGCATATGTGTTTATGTTTTCGCCATTCCCGCGTCATGTCGGCAGCAGCCCTGACGACACTTGGTGCATCCTTAACAGCAGTGCTGACTGCGATGCGGTGCATCGCGATAAGGATACATTTTTTGTGCCAGCCTTTCCGATCGTGCGCGCACTGAGGGATTCATTCCACAGAAACAGGCAGTGTACTACAGGAAATGTTGAAACAATACAACACTGCTCGCGTGCCCGACCTGGCCCAGCCACGTCATGCCACAAATGACCTTGCCTGTGCATGACTCCTCCTTGCATCATGGTTTCGCCTCTTGTAATGCACCATCCTGAAAATTATTATGGTCCAATGCTCTTCATTGGGCACGGAACGACTTCCAGGGTCTAGTGGCAATTTCTCATTTGACCTGGTGAAGGGCCCTTTCAGAAGGGAACCACAAATGAAACGAAAGCTGCGTGCACATCACATTTTTTTTTCTGTTGATCTACTCTCTCCTTTCCCCTGAAGGCACTCCACATTTCTCCATTCGTTCGCCACGCTCCTGCAGCTGCCGAGAGGGACCTCCTATTTTCTATCCACTGCCACACCCATGTCTTCAAGGTTGTTCACTTCCTTGAGGATACTGGAAGCCTAGTTTGAACCTCGTTGTGTTCCTAAAGGTCAACGTTGCTGGGTAACATGAATAACGGTTTCAAACTGCACTCGAAAACAAAATTTGGCATTAAATAGTGCTCGTATAGGCACCAATTAGGTACATAGATATCTACTATATAAGCACTTACAGGCATTTAGGCGTAAACGCCGAAAATAAGCATTTTTAGGCACTGTAAAAACACTGTAAAAGCCCTTCCTAACCCCCCTATTCATACTCGTATATCAATGTGGCACAATAGGAACTCAAGGAAAGTAATAAACATGTGCCTAAGATCTGGTCTCTATTAATAGTCCAAGGATGCATCTACTATGCTCTCTTGGATGCCAAACTGAAACTACTTCATAGTATCTAGTGTCTTGCATTTTTTAGTGCACTGTGATACTTGGAAGCATTTTTTTCCAAACATTTAATGCTTGAAGTTAAAAAAAAATCCTGGCTTGGTGACAGCATGCTCAGGTTACCTGTCCCAAGTTTTTCACTGTTTGTGTGCATTGGCTTCATATGATGAACTTTTGATCCAAATGGCTTCTTCATTCATGGCTTAATTTCTGTATTCGCACAGAACATCCTAGAGTATATGGCAAGTGACTCACCTGCATCATTAGCTACCCCCATTTCGGTCCATAGGTAGGGCACGTAGTCTTTGTTGATTTAGCATTGTGATTGGTAATGAAAGATTGCTTTCAAACACTAGTGTTACCGACTATACATATATTTCCATACACAAGATGTTAGTTTTGCTTGTGGCACTTGCTGTGTTGTGTTAGAACTGAGTATAGTTTAGTGAAAAGTCAACTTTGAACAATGTAGTGACAACTGAATGTCAAAGGGAATAATTTATCCATATGTCAGCCAACATTGTATATATACTATTGATTTTTCTTTCATCTTCACCTTGCTGTTGAGAACAGCTGTTTTGCCTTGCCTAGGTGATACTTTGCTGTGTGAATGTATTGTCTCTGTGGTGGAATGAGGTGGGTTTGTAGAGTACTAGGAGTATCCAAATAATTGCAATTCAGCAAACAAAGAAAAGTGATATTGGGAAAGCAACTACATGACTAAATTTCTTTACCCCTTCATCTCCAAACTGTTGTTTCAGTTAGTGTTACACATTTACTTGTGCCGCAGGCTATGAGGTAACCACCATGGAGGATGCTGCATCAAAGGCATCTATTTTTGTGACTGCTACTGGATGCCGAGATATTGTACGAGGAGAACACTTTGAGAAGATGCGTAATGATGCCATTGTCTGCAACATTGGCCACTTTGATATTGAAATAGACGTCAAGTGGCTGGAAAAGAATGCAGCTGAAAAAGTAGAGATTAAGCCTCAGGTGAGAATTTTATAATAAATGCAGTCTGGCCTGTTGGCATAATTGTTTTAAAAAGTAACATCACTTTTACGTGAGCTTATATCAAAGGTGTGTTGCTTCTATGGTAAAACTTTTTTGATATGAACATCATGTACCTGTAAGCATGTACATTATTCAGTGACAAGCTCTCATTAATTTAGCAGAGTTGATTATGCATGGGTAAGTAGCTGGTGTCCAAAGTGTGTGCATCGAGGGCACATTTCTGGCTATCCAACCTTGTCCAGCCCATGCAATCGGCAAAAGCGTAGCCTTCGATAGCTGTTTGTGTTGCTTGGAAACAGCCATTGCTAGGACATAGATTTGTGCACTGCACACATGCAGAAGCCTTGGTGTATAGGAAGTGTTTTCAAGTATGAAATTCAGAAGTAGCACTCAATTATAGCACAATAAAATGGCCAAGTATGTGTAACTGCAACGATGGTTCAAAGAAAGTGGCTGCAAGGAACATGCAGGAATGGCATCAAGCATTTTGCTTCAAATAATGATAATAATAATAATAATGAAATTTTAACATCCTGAAGCAACCTGCAGGCCAGGGGAGCCATTTTAGTCTGAGGTCTCCATAATTGTTTACACAACCTGGGGTTTCTTAATTGAACTGCATCTAAACTTCAGTACCCAAATGTGTTGTCATTTTGCCTCCATCAACATGTGACCACCATGGCCAGGAATCAAACATGTGACTGCTCAGCCGCACAGTGTCATAACTCTGGTAGCCTCTTTTTGTTTTTGCATTTTGTGCGGCACATGGTACTGCTTTACAGCATGCATGGGTTGGGAAACTGTTTTGGTACATTGTTGTCACCATCATTATACCGCAGTAGTTTTGTTACCGCAAGCTAAAGCATCTACTGTAGTAACTTGCATAGTTTTGTCGTGGTACAGTGTGAAGGCATGGGGAAGGCTAGTACTCATGACTTGACATGAACGATGCTTGCTTGTGCTTGCTTGGCAGAACCAGCTGCATCACCCTTGGGTAAGCGGCATGACAGTTTTGTTTGTGTGCAATCCTGTTTAAATTTTCTGGGTCTAATTTGTCTCTATTTGTGTGCCTTCAAGAGAGTCATATCAAAATATCTGCTGCTGTTTCAAAAGCAATCCTGAGAAAATTTTTCATATCGTCTTCAATTTTTTGGCTAGTTTCAACTATTTTTGTAAAACACCCTGTCCAAGCTTATTGTTTGGCTTTAATTTTAGCAATTGTGTGTTTATGCATTCACATTTTATTTCTTGCTGCCTCTGCCCCATTGTAGGTTTGCCTTGTGAACCATGTACTGTAGTTGACGTCTTTGCCTATCATATTGTGATTTTGGCTTATAATACACCAGAAATGTATTGTTATGACATGATTTTTTTTTCTCGTAAAATATAGTGACCCAGAAGTTTTTGTAATGTCTAAAGTGCATTTTTAAATACAATGAAATAAAAAGATATAAAGCATGACATCAAGTGAAAAATGATGTACCTTAGCACAAGTGTGTGATGTCTAATTCCTCCCAATACTTTTTTTCTAAAAAAATGCTAGGTTGACCGCTACAAGCTAAAGAATGGCAACCACATCATACTCCTTGCTGAAGGTCGCCTTGTGAATTTAGGTTGTGCTATGGGACACCCATCATTTGTCATGAGCTCATCTTTCACGAACCAAGTGCTTGCTCAGATTGAGTTGTGGACTAAAAGTGACAAGTACAAGGTATTTCATTTCATTGCTTAATTTCACTCTCTATAGATTTCAGTTAGAGAAGAAAAAAAAAGTCTGTAGGTATGATTTAGGTAGCTTGTATAGCATGAAATATGGTAAGTTATGAATGTCTGAAACATGCTGCAAGTTCTTCTGAATAATACAATTCAAGGAGCTTGTTTCAGTTTCTGCTGTCCATTTAATTTGTTGTATGGAAATTTGAACATGATAGGGACATTCTAGAAGTCTGAATAAATCGGTATTTAATTTTGCTATTAGATACTGTATAGAAAGCTGACCTGTACTTCTGCGAGTGTAATCACATAGTATACTTGTGGGAGTAATGGAAGACACATGAAACTATTGTTAGCCGGCTTATGATGGATACTGAAGGCAAATAGTGAAGCTTTTTATGTTTGTTTCGAGCAGGTGCAAGTGATGTATCAAAACAAAAGTATGGGTTCAATTTTCTTTTTCTGAACTTGGTGGCTGAATTGGCACATGGTGATGCATTCCAATTTATTCATTCATCAAGCCAAACTTTGTCACTTGTTTACCTTAAATCTGCGGGACCACTGGCAGTTTTGCAGAGCTGTTGACACGATCACTCCACAACCGTGCATAATCTTGAGTAGAGCGAAATGCCAGCATTGCAGTGGACATCAGTTCATCTCTTTCATGAAAGTTCCTCCACATCTGCACTACTGATATGCCATAGTCAAAAGCAAAGTATTTTTTGATTGCTTAGAGCTTTTTAATGCACCAAATTGGAGTTACATTTACATGAAACTATCATTAATGATTACTGGCTTACGTCGTAGCAGCATATATATAGATGGCATCAGCTTTGAATAATGAAAACGTATGCTGCATTTTCCTATTCTTGCAGCACTAGTATGGCAGTAAATGAACAGCAAATGGTGTGCTCTTTACAAGGACATATAACGGGAGATACTTGCCTGATTCAGCACCTTTGCTTAATCTTCTGCATTCTTGTGAAATGAGTGCTGTTTCTGCTTCATTATCTCACCAACAGTGTGAACACTAAAACTTTTTGTGCACATTTTTACGAGTTATGTATGGTAGACTCTCAATAAACAGAAATCTGTTAAATGAAGTGTTGCTTAAATGGGACTACTCTCTCTGATCTGATTGGTTGAGTACTTGTATTCTGCACTCCTGTTCATCCCTCCATAATCGAAACTCCTGTTAAATGGAACATATTTTCCTGGTCCCTTCAGGGTTCACTTAGTGAGTCTACTGTACTTGGACATATATGGTGCAGTGTGCATAGAATTGATTTAGTGATAGAATGGCCAAGGTAAGATGACTTGCATTTTTTCTTCTAGGTGGATGTGCACTTTTTGCCTAAGAAGCTTGATGAGGAAGTTGCAGCACTTCACCTCGATCATCTTGGAGTGAAACTGTCCAAGCTGAGCAAGGAGCAGTCCTCGTACCTTGGCATTCCTTCTGAGGGCCCTTTTAAACCGGAATACTATCGATACTAGATTTGATTCCATTTTCTGCATAGACTGCTGTGTTGTTTCAAATTTGTCACGGACATATTTTTGTGATAATAAACTGGAATGATCATTAGCACTTTGATAAATTGAACAAGAGACTCCTTTTATCTCAAGATGAGAATGAAAAGCTGGTGATGTTCTGTGTACCTATCTTAGTACACTGATTTGCAGCATTTTACAACTGTGCTTCAACTGCATAAAACTGCAGTGTAATTAATGATTGAATATAACTGTGAGGTTGCTGCCAAACACTATTGTTCTGTTAACTCTACAGCTATTATTGCAACGAATGTAGCAGCCTCACAACAACGATGTTCTATTTACACGGTTTATTAAGGGCGAACTTGTGCCCAAAGTGAACGACGCACAGCAATCAAGAAGATCCAAGGGTGGTAGTCCTCGTGAGCCTCTGCCTCGAGCACCCTCGTTCTCTTCTTTTTCACGCGCGTTGGCTGTTCGGCGGAGTACCGGGCGCATGCAGGGCCGGCTCGTGCATTCCGGCTGGCTTCGTCGCTCGTAGTCGTGTCGTTAGCGTTTCTCTGGTTCCCAACGTCCGCGTTGCGCGGAGCAATGGTAATTTCCTGTGGCATTATCCCCCCTCTCAAGAGGCATCGCCCCGATGCTTTCGATGATAATGTATGCAGCGATTCCGTCCCGGAAAGTTTGTAAGAGGGAAATGGTTGTACAGCAAGCAAGTGGGGTGGCTAGTCTTCGTACCGGTCGTAGTACGGTTTCATGCGCACAATGTGTACACGCTCGGTGGGATTGCGTCGTTTAGAATGCCCATGTCTTGTAGGCTTGACTTCATAAACGAGGTCGTTGAGTCGCTGTACTACCTCGTAAGGACCGAAATATCGACAAATAAGTTTTTCAGACAGGCCTCGTCGTCGTACTGGGGTCCATATCCACACTTTTGTCACCAACTTCATACCGTGTTTCACGTCTTCCTCGGTTGTAGCGGTCGGCATCGATTCGTTGTTGGCGACATATTCGGTATCTTGCTAATTGGCGGGCCTCCTCCGCTCTCTCTATATAGTCATCAAGATCAGAAGAGTAGTCGTCTTGATCTATAGGTAACATAGCGTCCAGTGTTGTGGTAGCTACACGACCGTAAACTAGTTGAAACGGGGTAATCTTGGTAGTCTCTTGTACGGCGGTGTTATAGGCGAAGGTGACGTATGTTAAAATTTTGTCCCACTTTTTGTGTTCGACGTCCACATACATAGATATCATGTCAGCTAGAGTTTTGTTAAGGCGTTCAGTCAGGCCGTTGCTTTGAAAGTGATATGCGGTAGTTTTCCTGTGAACAGTGTGGGTCATGTTCGGCAGGCATTCCATGAGTTCCGCCGTGAAAGCCAGTCCGCGATCGGTGATTACAACAGTTGGAGCGCCATGCCGTAGCACTATGCTCTGTACAAAGAATTTGGCGACCTCAGCTGCCGTTCCTCGATGCAAGAAGTCTGTTTCCGCGTATCTCGTTAAATAATCAGTTGCTACAACGATCCACTTCTTGCCAAGTAAAGATGTCGGGAATGGTCCAAGGAGGTCCATTCCAACTTGTTGGAAGGGTGCTTTCGGTGGGTCTATCGGGTGCAGAAGGCCCGCTGGCTTAGCACAAGGCGCTTTCCGTCTTTGGCACTCGCGGCATGTTCTGACATAGCGTTGTACTGAAGACAATAGCTTGGGCCAATAATAGTGCTGACTGATTCGTGCAAGCGTTCGAGTGACCCCCAAATGTCCAGACGTAGGCTCATCGTGGCACGCTTGTAATATTTCTTGCCGCATAGTTGCGGGAACGACAAGCACAAACTTTTCACGGTTGGGCTTAATGTTTCTCTTGTAGAGGACAATTCCTCGGAGGCAGAACGATGCGAGGCTTCGAGAAAATATACGAGGTACTTGTACGTCAGCTCCTTTCAGGTGTTTGATGAGCGGGAGCAATTCTTCGTCCGCATGTTGAATTTCAGCTATCTGAGAAGTCTCGACAACAGCCACGAATGGAAAGTCCTCTTCATCTGATAGTGCTGTGTCTGCAGGTGCCCGTGACAAACAGTCGGCGTCGGTATGCTTCCTACCAGATCAGTATACCACAGTTATGTCAAATTCTTAGTCTGAGGCTCCACCTTCCTAGTCGTCCGGACGGGTCCCCGAGGTTGGCGAGCCAGCAAAGGGCATGGTGATCGCTGACTGCCTTGAATGGTCTACCATACAAGTAAGGCCGAAACTTACTGATGGCCCAGATGACGGCAAGGCATTCTTTCTCTGTGGCCGAATAATTGGTCTCCGCCTTTGTTAGAGTCCGGCTGGCATATGCTATCACCTTTTCTTCGTCATTCTGCCACTGTATTAGGATGCATCCTAGGTCGATGTTGCTGGCTCTGTGTGTATTTCCGTGTCAGCTGTTTTATCGAAATGAGAAAGGATTGGGGGCTCTTGCAACCATTTTCTTAATTCGTTGGCGCTTTGTTGCTCTGTTTCCCACTGGAAAGGTACATCTCTCGTAAGTTTCGTCAAGGGCTCTGCAATCTGCGAGAAATTTCTGACAAATCGTCGGTAGTAAGCACAGAGACCTAGGAATCTCCGTACTGACTTTCTGTCTGCTGGCACTGGGAACCTTGCAACGGCGGCTGTCTTTTCGGGATCAGGGCGCACACCGTAGGCGCTGACAACGTGCCCAAGGAATCGAAGCTCTTCGAAACCGAATTGGCACTTCTCTGGCTTGATGGTTAAATCTGCCGAACGGATTGCTTCTAACACTGTTCGCAGGCGCTTGATATGCTCCTCGAATGTAGCGGCGAAGATGACCACGTCGTCAAGGTACACTAAGCAACACTGCCACTTCAATCCGGAAAGTACAGTGTCCATCATGCGTTGGAACGTTGCCGGCGCACAACACAGACCAAAAGGGAGAGCCTTGAATTCATAGAGTCCGTCAGGGGTAACAAAAACAGTCTTCTCGCGATCACGTTCATCAACTTCGATCTGCCAGTATCCACTTTTCAGATCTAGTGATGAAAAGAACTTGGCACAACGAAGTCTGTCTAATGTGTCGTCAATACGCGGGAGGGGATATACATCCTGTTTAGTCACAGCATTTAATTTCCGGTAGTCAACGCAAAACCTTAGCGTGTTGTCCTTCTTCTTGACAAATACTACAGGAGATGCCCAAGGACTGTTAGAAGGTTGAATAACATCATCTTCAAGCATCTCCTGTACTTGATTCTTGATGACTTCCCTTTCTTTTGGTGAAACGCGGTACGGGTGCTGGCGTACCGGCCTGGTTGTCTCGTCTGTTACGATCCTGTGTTTTGCAATGGTTGTGCGTCGTACCTTTGAACTATTGGAGAAACAGCTGCCAAATTCCCGTACAAGGTCGTATAGCTGTTGACGTTGGATCACTGAAAGATTGGGATTTACGGATATTAGGTCACAGACATCAGATGTTGGTTTCATATCCGTTGACGTTGTTTCAAGGCTGCATATTTCTGTGGCTTCACAAACCTCATGAAGAAAGGCTATGGCTGTCCCCTTTGCGATGTGCTGGAATTCGTTCCCAAAATTTGTCAGGAGGACGTCTGCGTACCCGTTTCGTAGCTAGATAATCCCTCGTGCCACACAAACACCTCTTTTCAGGAAAACATCCATGTTGCTGTCTGCCACACCTTCGTAGTCACCAAACGTATCATTTCCGACTAGAACCATTACAGTGCTCTGCGGCGGTACAGTCACATCATCATCGACAATGCGCAGCGGAGTGGTGCATTGCTCGTCTGCTCGAGCTACCTTTATAGCTTGTTCCGTCGAAAATGATACGCCGGACCTCTGCAAATTAATAATGGCACCATTTGCTTGCAGAAAATCCATTCCGAGTATAACTTCTCTCGAACATACGGGCAGGACAACAAAGTCACCAACGTAAGTGAAACCTCGTATCTCAACTCTTGCGGCGCATCTGCCGAGAGGCGTAATAAGGTGACCGCCTGCCGTACGTACTTGAGGTCCACTCCATTCGGTCAGAACTTTCCTGAGGCACTTCACTAAGTTGTAGCTTATCACAGAGTAATCCGCACCGGTATCGATTAAAGCCATGAGCTCTAGCCCGTCAATTACCATCGGCAAGTCTGAAGTTATCTTCTCATTACTGCACTTCTTTACCTGGAGACAGTCGTCGTCGTCGCGCTGGTGTCGCAGTGGAGGATCTTCGTATTTCGAATCACCAGCGGTCTCGCCTCCACAGGTCGCCCACTTCAGTTTCCCGGGTTTGGACTAGGGGAACGATGCCTAGGTGCGTTCGGAAAGGAACGTGGGCTTGGCGAGCGCTGACGTAGAGGGAGGAGATGGCGACCGCGGTTGGTGACGACGTTGCAGGTCGAAGCTCTGACGTGAGCACAGGTATTCCTCGATGTCGGACGACCTTTCGCCGTTTCGCGGACACGGTGCGTTGACCGCAAATCCTCGAAGACCAGCTTGACGATATCGGCAAAACCAGTAAAGATGGCCAGCCTCTCCACAGTGGAAGCACAGAGGCCTACGTTCCGCATCTCGCCATACATCGCTTTTCCGAGGTCTTGTCTCTGTCGGAAGGGGTGCGCTGCGAGTTGCCTCTACGATATGGCGTGGGCTACGTGTTGTCGGTGTGTAAGTACCAGGTGTCTCGATAGGCGCACAGTGGACAGCAGGCCGCCTGAGCACCTCAGAATAAGTTGCCGCGCGTCGTGTCGGTGGTGCATCCCTTTGCGGCTCCCGTATGGCCTGCCGAATTTCTTCTCGGACAACATCCGTAATAGATAGTTCCGGTGAAGCGGGTGGCTGCAGGTTGCGTGGTTCCTCCCTGACAACTGACCGGACGAGCTCCCCTAGAGTGTCAAGATTACCGACAACGTTTGCCGAGAAGACCCCTGCTGATGTACAGGCTACGTCACGATTGTATTGCCGGGCTCTCTGCTGCAGCGTCGTTTCTATTGTTGTTGCTTCCGACCGAAACTCAGCAACAGTGCGCGGCGGATTGCGAACAAGTCCCACGAACAGCTCTTGTTTTACCCCATGCATGAGATGACGCACCTTCTTGTCTTCAGTCATGTTGGGATCAGCTCGCTTGAACAGGCAGGACATGTCTTCAATGTACATAGCGACAGTCTCATTTGTGCGTTGATTCCGTGCACGAAGAGCTGCTTCTGTCTTTTCCCGGCGATCATTGTTGCCAAACGTACACAGTAGCTGCCGCCGGAACTCTTCCCAGGATGTCAAAGATGAGTCGTGGTTTTCGTACCACACTCATGCTGCGTCTTCCAAAAAAATGTATACGTTGCGCAACTTGCCTGCTTCGTTCCATTGGTTTATGTTCGCCACTCTCTCGAAATGATCCCGCCAGTCTTCGGCGTCCTCGAACGGGTCACCATGGAACACCTTCAGTATGACGGGCTAGCTGACAATGAGCTGTGATGGTGCAACTTGGCTAGTCATGGTGGTGGCGTTTCTTGTTCCCGTCGCTGATGCCTTTGGCACAGGGGGAAGTAGTCCAAATTCTGGTGAATCCCCTCGAATACGGCGACTGATCCGTTGGTGCACCGGCGTAAGCACGGCTTGCGGATGGTCAGGGCTTGGACTTCGTTCTCTCGTAGGGGTTGGAATCATCTACCCAGCTCCTCCACCAGAAAATGTAATGAATGTAGCAGCCTCACAACAGCGATGTTCTATTTACACGGTTTATTAAGGGCGAACTTGTGCCCAAAGTGAACGACGCACAGCAATCAAGAAGATCCAAGGGCGGTAGTCCTCGTGAGCCTCTACCTCGAGCACACTCGTTCTCTTCTTCTTCACGCGCGTTGGCTGTTCGGCGGCGGCATGCAGGGCCGGCTCGTGCATTGCGGCTGGCTTCGTCGCTCGTAGTCGTGCCGTTAGCGTTTCTCTGGTCCCCAACGTCCGCGTTGCGCAGAGCAATGGTAATTTCCTGTGGCATTATTACCCTTCCCTAGCTACAAGAGCACTCAGTCTCTAATGCATTGATACCCCCAGGTCATTGCCATTACAAAAGAAGCCAGTAAGCAAATATATAGCAAAAAAATGACTTAATGGTTCAGGACAGACTGGCATTGTTCTTAAAAGGTTACGGACTTAGTCACAACATAGCAGTTTTGAGTATTCTTTCTTTGCACAGAGCTGAATATTGCCAAGTTTCCTGGGCTGTTATTGTTTCTTGCCTAATTTTTTTGCTGCCACTCTCTGTATGGTGGCATCGATGCAAGCCAGATATTGCCCACATGCCCTCAAGGACTTGGTTGCATTTGTGCAAGCATCACATTTAATTCGACTCTATAAAATTTGCATTTCTCTTTAGTACAAGTTTTTTAGTGCTTGAATTTCCCTGTGATGACATTTTGCTGTGTGTCTGTTCAATTCTATGGTTGTTGCGTCGGGCATGTTATGAAATAGCATGTCTCGCTCCGTAATGGACTGACAACCACTTTTTGTGGTACCAGTTTTTTTTAACACAACGGAAAGCTGACTGGTCAGGGTATCTAATCACAAAATGGCTACATGGAAAATGCTCTGAAATGTTTATAATCAATTTTTTCGGTCTTTGGTGACTGTGCAGTTACAACACATGTCGCAAACTGTGGGGGGTGAGTGCAAGAGTAGGTAGGTAGTGCGCGGCAGTTTGCTGTGCATGTGTGCACTTCGCTCGCCCACGCCATGGCTCTACGTGTGCTACTAGTTGCCGTGAAGAGAGCGCCGCTTCTCAGGGTGCGACTCATCTTATCTTGTAAGCAGTCCAGAATATAAATGTGTCTGCTTAGAATTTACACTTTCTGATGGACAGATCAGATAGTATTTTAAAAAAGAGCATGACTAAAACCCACATAGAATTTTGCACATAATTCAAGCATTTTGCCACGGTTGAGTGACATTAAAATGACAATATTTAGGTTTTGTAGATATTTCAGGAAGTCGATGATTATCGGGGACTTTCAAGATCTTGTCAGTTTTTTTCATGTAAGTTTTTGAAAGCGTTCCTCCTAGCATATATACAACAATGCTTGTAAAATGCATTGGACTGCACTAGGCACTCTCATCAAATGAGTTAACGCTTGTATAGGTCAAATCAGCTTAGCTTTGTACATCGATTGATTGAAATGCGAGAAAAAAAAAAAAAACAACGGTGAAGGAGTTCCTGGCAATGGCATGCAGGACTCGAGATAATCCCAGGAGATAAAGCCCTGACTACTGGTGTCGCTCCCAAGAGGTTTTCCAGTCCTATACATGCATTTGCAGGGGCTTTAAATTCCTGCACAGTCAAACTTTGATACGTCGACCATTACAGTCTGGAAACGGACAATGTAGCGCAGTAGTAAAACCACTGCACTATGCATGTATAAAAAAAATGTTCTCTGCAACTTTCGTATCAACACTGCGCCTCGGCAAGTGAAGTCTGTTGAAAGGTGATTATGGTACTGTTTCTCCAAACAGTAGCACGGTCGCTTTTCACATCATGGAAAATATTCATGCAATAAAACAGCTGTTTTTGAATATGCTCCCAAACAAGGCACTAAATCGAAAGTCAATTACGTGCCATGGAGGGTAAATGAGCAAGGTATGCATACCATTGTATAAAACTATAAAGCAAGAGCCATATTTGTGCTTTATAATAACGAACTTGTTTGGTTATTCAATGGCACACGTCCCAGCCATTCTAACGACCATCTTAAATGTGATTGAAAAAAATTATGCTAAATTTGTTCCAATTTCTTCTATTGCGAATGGGAAATTGTTGGGAGTACCGTATTTACTCGATTCTACCGGGCCCTCGATTGTAACACGCACCCGGTTTCCACGACGAAAAAAAAAAAAAAAGGTAAGACATCGATTGTAACGCGCACCCATTTTTCTCGTTGACCCGCACGATCACACCACTCGGGAAAACGACTCCTTTCGGGAGCATCTTCCGTTAAAATATGAGGTACGGGGCCTATCTGACGTGCAATGGAGCATTGCCGTCACTCTAGTTTTACCGTGGCCCGATGTCAGCACGTGAACTTGCTTCGCCCCCTTCTTCTCGACAGTTGTGGTGCCAGGCATGCCGAAGTAAAGAGACGTCTGGTCGGCATTCCCGATTTGCCCAAGCAGGTAGTTTGTGCCGCAAGTTTAGGACGAACTTCTGAAAACTGTGCTTTCCTTCGTACTCCTCCGGCAACTTTTGGCATATGCCCGTTCGCCTTCGGAGGGAAAAGCCTTTCCTCTTCATAAAGTTAGTTAGCCAGCACATGCTCGCTTTAAACTGTCTCCGCATTAGCCCTTTTTCTAAGGCTAACTGCATAGCCTGCACTTGGAGCAGTTCTGTCGTCACAGGCCGCTGTGCCGCTCACTGCTCAATCACATACTCGACGAGCAGCTCTTCAATTTGCGAAAACCGACCCTGCTGTGGTCTACTGAAGCCTTTGCATGAATCTTTGCTGTCGACAATATTCTACTTTTGTTTCCACCAGTCCCGCACGCACGTTTTGGGAACTCCGAACGACCGCGATGCGGCCCGATTTCCGTCCGTTTCGGCACACGCTATGACTTTTCTTTTAAAAGCGGCATCGTGGTGCACTCGTCGAGTTTTTGGAGTCGGCCCTTCCATGCCGTCGATGCTAATGCACTACAAGATGACGAACTCCTCAGTACACGCTCGAAGTGCCGCACATGGGAAACACATAGGCAGAAATGGCCGACGCGCCATGCCGACGCACGTAGGGGGTGGCCATTTTGGGAATGCCGATGGCAATAAAATGACCGTATTCATTTTTTTTCGTACTGGATTCTAACGCGCATGCGATTTATGAACTCGCTTAACCGGAAAAAAAAGGTGCACGTTAGATTGGAGTACTTACGGTACTTTGGGGAGAAAACACTTTTGGTCACGTGGGAGCCTTCCAGATTTCACAAAATGTAATCTGAGCGATGTTTGTTCGTGAGTATCATTCCGTGTTTCCATGCCAAATTTGGTTTACATATTAAGCAAAAATGTCTGCTTAAGTTGTTTGAATTTTAGTTATGTAACTGCAATTTTTCTGCTGTATGTGCCTCCACAAATCTTGTCAAAATGTTTTATGTGTGCATTTTTTACCTTGTAATACTACACTATGTATGAATATCCCAGTAATCAATACTTACTCTACGGGAGGTTTATTTCATGATAAAAATATTTTCAGACATAGCATTGTGCAAATTTTGCAGAGAAAATTTTCCAACTAACGGCAATGGGCAACTTCAATTACAAAGGTGCCGTATGAACAAATGTGAAGATAGCCGTTAATGGGGAAATTCAGTTTTTTTCCTTAAAACAAAAATTGTAACGATGAAAGTTATTATATAAGAACTAATTTTTTGCTTTTGATCTAGGTATAAAGTCGATTTTTATTTGAACCACCACGTGATGTAAATTAAATTTTACCATGGCCCAAAATATATTTTGTGGTTGTGTAAAGTCCTGCAAAAACAACTGTGCTGTGTACTACCTGTGCCTCAATTCTCTAATATTGAATTACCGATTTATTAAATCATAGAGCATTCTGAGATGTGATGCATCAGATTTTGGCTGTACCATTGTTTCCAGTACTGGGAGTATGCTAGGTCATGACAAAGAGATAACTTGGAATCCATTTCACATGGTATTATTAGCCATGAAATTCAATGTTTTTTGAAGGATAAGTTCAGGACTTTAAAAGGTCTTGAAAACATTTTTAGTTTCAAGGGTTCAATTATGCAACCAAAAAAATTTTTTTTTTGGAGGTTAGATGCAATTCTCCACCTACATCTTCCATTTAAGGAAACGTACCACGAAGTGTTACAAAAGCATTTTAATGGAAGTTACAAGCAATTATTACACATTACAAAAAGTAACCAATACATCAGTATTCATGGACAGCAATGACTTAAATTTTTGTATTTAACGATAAACACACTGCTTGGACAACAGGAGCTGGTGGGCCAAAGTACTTCTCCTCTTGTGCCACAAGTCCATTCGAGCACTCATTACCTTCAGGCTATTCACAAATGAAATCTGAAGTTTGTAACGGTCAGTCCACAAAGGCAGCATGCCACCAACTTATCAGAGCTGGTTATACCACACACATATATAAAAACACCTGTATAGTAGATGTACAGTCCGTAAATAACCACACAGTGATCAATTGAATGTTGTGTCACCTTTTGTTACCTGTAAAAAAAAACGGAGCAGGTGGGAGGTAGTGAGAACACGAGTATTGAAGTACAAAACAATGCATGCACAAATATTTCAAATACGGTAGGCTTTTCTGCACAAGCTATAATTAAGGTAACTTTTCTGTCAACTGTGGTCTAACAGGAAAGAGCTTTGCTACATTTTGACAGATGTGCAGATATGTTGTTAAAGAAAGGGTGCACACAGCATATACTCCTGAGCATTTTTTGACATTGAGGCACAAAAGACTGCTGCCAATTCACATGACTGTTCTGTGAGGTTCAGACAGATGAATTGTCAGTGCAACGCATCAACTGAAAAAATTTATTGCATAGTTAACTCCAGTTTTGTTCAGCCGAGAACAGAGCTGAGTACTCTTATAAGGTTATTACGGCTTTCAAATAACTGAACTGCATGCATTTTTAAAAAAGTTAAGACGATTGGCTTCATTTGAGAGTATACAGGTTTGGCAGCCTTCCCTTTCTGCAATCAAAAGGAAACAACTCGTCAAATGTATCTTACTGCCACTTCATGGCTCGTGAAAGTAAAAAGAAAAAAATTGCATTGCAGCTACCACTTCAAAACATTAGCTGAAATAAAGAGATCCAGTACTTCTTTTCCTTGAGCCCTACACCATGGGACACAATAACGGAGATGTTTGCGCCGCTTTCAAGAAATTTTGATGACTATTGTTGGTATAGCCCCTGAATAACATTACTCAATCTTCCCATTGTATTGTAGCTATTGCTCTAACATTATTCAGCTCTCATTCCAGAGCAGTCATGAAAGTTTAGCTAGTAAATAATCTACCCACTTCGAAGTCAATCACCCGCAGCGGACGTAAGCGGAGTCGTCGAATAAAAAACTACTGCACACCATAGTTGGGAAAATAAACTGCTTCGAGTTTCGGTTAGCAAAATGGGAGTGTGGCGGAGTGCTTGAAGAGTTGAATGTAGCATCAAGGCTTTGGAGTAAAAGGATCTTGCAAAACACGGGCTACGAGCAGTCAGAACAAGATGCTTATTACTGAGTAATCGGGCTTTTACTTTCCGAAGCTTCATATGAACCATGAAGACAATAAAGTGGAAGGGTCTGTTTTTTCTCCCTGTCCATATTATTTAAAACGCACTGAAATTTCAGAACACGAGCGTTTTCCCACACTAGTAAGCCACTGCAGTCTCTGCAGGCGGCACCAAACATAGGTGTGGCCCTGGTTTACAATTATTTACGTAGAGCATGCAACAGCTACACACCGCACAGAACTCTGGATTTTCTGACGGAGCTTTGGCTATCTAAAGCAACAGTATGCATGCAAACTTGAAATAAGCTGCATTCCTTCTCAAGTAAGCTGATGTATTACTCCCGACTTGAGTTTAGTAACTTCCAAGAGCGTCAATACATCGTACTGTGAGTACGTAACTCACTCTGGCCTCCAGGTATTCAATTCTTCTTTCCAGTGACGTTAGCTTTTCGTTTAAGGTAGCAAGCCTTGCCCTACATGACATATCTGCAATAAACGATGCACTCATGTTAAAAAAAAAAAAAAGAACAACAGTCACTCGCGCAACGCAGAAACAAAACGCGTGCTTACCAAACGATGTAAGAAAATCGACGATCTTCTTTATGCTCCCGCTAATGATTTCAATGTATTCCCTATTCGCCCAGTCTTGCTGGATTTGCTTTTGTATGGCTTCTCTTTCTAAAACAGACATCGCTGTGTGCAAACAAGCAACGGGCTGCAGTTTGACGGGGCAAGCTTTCGCACAGTTAGCAGATTAGCAGTGAGCACAGTTTAAGTAGTCGACTAGTTTTGGCTTGAAACGGGCTGGCAGGTAGCCTACAAGTTTTAGCGCTAGTGTTTTCAAGATTCTCAAAATATACCACCATTTAGGCTTGTATTTATTATTAATTAGGTTCAATATATTATTTACACAATTTATGTTTGATTTCATGACTTTAATAGTAGTGCCAAACGACGGCTGCTTATGTGCTGTTAGACTCCGCGCTCGCTATTCCTACTTCTTCGCCGTGTGGAACGGTGCGTTCTAGTTTTTGCAATTAGATTAAAACTGTCACAATGCCTCCAAAGAAGAAAGCACCTGAGCCGAGTAAAAAGACCGAAATGAAGAAAAAAGAGAAAGTAATCGAGGTAAGCCGATGACGAAGCTTCTGTATGTTACGCTTCACATGAAGACCATGAACGCCGTGTTCGCCAGACATCCCGGATTGATCCATTAAATTGGTAGTATGTGTAGCGCAATTTACTCATTGCGCTCTCAGTTGTCAAACATTTACTGTAATAGAGAAAATGTTTCGTTCGCATGGTCCTTGGGCGAGCGACAAGCATTGACAATCGTGTGCACATGCGGAGAAAAACCTGCCTCTTCATTTTTTTTTTTTTCATCAGCCCGTGACGTTACGTGTGATCCCTAAGAAAAATATTGCGCGATGGTATATTTTATAAAAGTGGGCTTTTAGAATATTGCCCTAAGGTCTGATGTTTTATTTGCTGACTGAATCGCTGCTTCTAGTCTTAAATGTTCGCAGCGTTCGAAAACTGCTCTAATAAGTTTAGCATCCGTTTACGATCTACAGCGAGGCAACAAGTTAGTAAGATTGGCCTAATTTTAGAAATACAAATAAGTATGTGAATTTAAGCAATCCGTATATTTAGACAGTCGAGGCGCGCAACTGCTTTCGTTTTTCTGTTGTTTTTTTTTTGTAGCCAGAATACAGTTAAGTTTCCGCTGTACTTGGCATAACTACAATCTGTGACCATGCTTGAACTCGCAGACGGAAGCTTAGAGTGTGTGGCACTTTATGCGACGTTTTATGTTGTCATTCACCGGTGACGTAGGGTTCACTGGGACTGGTTCACGGTCGAGAACAAAGATTGCACTCATAGCTGCTGCCTAAATATTTTTTATAAAATTTTGCCTCCTAACAGTAAATAATTAATACTTACATATCCATATAATTAAAACTTACATATCTATATGATTGAAATTCACATATCTATATAAAACTTACAAACAGTAGTTGGTGGTACCGGGCACGGTTTAATTTTTAAGCGATACTGCCTACCAACTTAGTTTTGGTACAGCAGGCTAGACTGACCTGAAAAAACTAATTTTAGAGATATCTCTGTGCCCTGATATCTCTGATAGTTAGCATTCCAACTATCACACTTCATTTGCTGTTTAGCTGGCACATTGAAGCAATGCTTGGTGCAAGTAACTTACTAGCTTTTATTTTGTTGTGATGTCATACACACACCAATAGTTATGTAATACAAATAATGGTGTGCCCTTAAAGGAGTACTGACATGAGAAATTTTTCTTTGTCAAATGAAAAGCCAAAGGCGCCAAGAGCCTAGCTGGCTTGCAGTGGCACCATTGAAACGGCCATGTTAGAGCACCAACATGGTGGGACATGAACTTTTTGATGTCACGTAGTGTTATCAGCACATCACATGCTGATTCCTTTGTCATTTATGCACAGAGACTGACCTGAAAAAACTAATTTTAGAGATATCTCTGTGCCCTTAGTTAGCATTCCAACTATCACACTTCATTTGCTGTTTAGCTGGCACTTTGAAGCAATGCTTGGTGCAAGTAACTTACTAGCTTTTATTTTGTTGTGATGTCATACACACACCAATAGTTATATAATACAAGTAATGGTGTGCCCCTAAAGGAGTACTGACGTGAGAAATTTTTCTTTGTCAAATGAAAAGCCAAAGGTGCCAAGAGCCTAGCTGGCTTGCAGTGGCACCATTGAAACAGCCATGTTAGAGCACCAACATGGTGGGACATGAACTTTTTGATGTCACGTAGTGTTATCAGCACATCACATGCTGATTCTTTTGTCATTTATGCACAGAGGCCCAATAATACTTCAGTGACATCGTTATCACAATCAAAAAGGTTTATTTACTGTCTCGACAACATCTAAGCTGTCATGTTGTGTGTCGTGACATCATGTGCACCCTGAAAAATTAATTACAACATGTTTTTAATAGTTACTTTTGGTTCCAACTGTACTCTGGCATCATGACAGGGTATGCGCTTACTGTGACATGCTTATCGTCATATGCTTGCACAAGATGTTGTGACATTTCTGTGGCCACTCCTCCCTGTGTCTCTATTGGCTAAGTGCACATGGCCATTTTGTATGTTTTATTACTTGACTTCATCACAACTAGTAATAACGGTGCATAAAGTCCTCAGAATTGGTACTGTACTTAATGCTGTTGTCAGGAGGTGAGCCATGTGAAAATTGACTTTAATGTCTATATTAAATGTCAGCATTTAATGAACTTCACACCTGCTTTGGATCATTTATGTATACAGCATGGTGGGGTTAACTCAGCTTTGAAAATCATTGTCAGTACCCCTTTAAAGAAGATGTACTCTCATATGTTGCTACCAGCAATGACAAGGTGTGTGGGGAAATAAATCTGTCTTTTCTGCTGGTTTTGACATTTCAGTTGTAAAATGTGGGCTGTCTTCAAGCCATGTTAAAGGGACACTAAAGAGAAGAATTATTTTTCGCGTATCAGTAAAGTGAAATTTCACAGTCCCGAAAACACCATTCTTACTGTGAGGCGACACTTGGTAAGCAGAAAAACGCGCAAAGAGAAAATGCAGGTGGAGATGCCACTTTGATATTCTCGCACCAAATATTGTGACGTCATAGATTTTCAAGGATTCTACTGGGTCCTATGTAGTTTCTAATCTGTAAAAATTAAGTACATTGTTATCTGTGGGTGCCATAGATCTGATATACGAAGTTTCAGAAAATTTCATTGAGTCCATGTCGTGAAAATGTGAAACACACATTTTGAAATTTGTTAGCTCAAGCACAGAGATTTTGGTGTGAAATTTAAAAAGGAAACTTCAACTTTGATTTTCTCCGCTAACAATGAACTTATGAGAGTGAAAGTTGAGTTCTCAGAATACAGTATATCAGTCAAGACCAAGTCATTGTTTCACTTTAGTTTCCCTTTAACACCTATCTGCTGTTGTACTCATTTGTTCTAATTTGCAACTGTAATCTTTCATGCACTCTCTGATGCTTATATATGTCATAACTTATTCTTTCTGTATTCACGTCTGTTGATTTTATATAGACTGTTTACTGCTCTGAGCCACTTTATGTGATTTTTTGGCATTAGTGGTGCTTAGAATTAGAAGTATAGGACTGTAGTGTTATACAAGCTGTTCCTTGCAGGGTTTCTCTGGCAGGGGTACTATAAAGAAAAGTTTCATAACGTCACATTTATGACGTGAGTGGAAAGTATGTAAAGATATGAACTGTCAAAAGGAAGCATAACAGCTCATTGCATGCATGGTTAAGCTCTCCCTATGTAGGGAAGAATTTTGTTGTCAATTAGACCTTTCATCTTTTCGTGGCAGCTTTCATAGCAGCATTTTCAGTTTATTCATGCTTCCATTGTCTTTTTTACTTTACTTGAAAAACGGCAGCACACACTTTTTTCTTCACTGCTTGGTGTGAGTGGGGGAGATTTCATTTTTTGCCCATAGAAGCAACTAGTTTTTAGCAAAAAATTTATGCCTGATAAAGAGAGTGTCACATCGCACACATCATGCTCTTGCTTCTCTCTTGCAGGACAAAACATTCGGCCTCAAAAACAAGAAGGGAGCAAAAACGCAGAAATTTATCCAGCAAGTTCAGCACCAAGTGAAGTTTGGCAATCAGCCTGTGAAAAAGGTATTGTAGCAACAGTGCTGTACATTCTGGCTTTGCAATGCATTTAATTTATTTTGGATATTTTTAGTTTCTTTATTGCTCAAGTTTGTGCATTCATACTGCAGACCAGGGGCTAAATTTGCCACACACTGGAGCGACCGAGTTTGGCATGTTGAATTCTGAAGTTTTATTTGTCTTGTTCAGTTGGCATTTTCTAATAAGGAAAGGCTTCTGATAAAGGGAGTGATAAAATTTTTTTGTGTCATTTCATTTTAGATTCCTTGCTCGCCAGTGTGCAATTTGGTTTTTTTAGGTTGAAACAGATGAACTGAACGTATGTTTCCTGAAGAATTAGATATAGTAGAGTGCTACACAGCTAGGCAAGCTGGAAGTGATGCTGAATTGCAATTTTCGATTCCCAACCATGGTGGTCACATTATTGTGAACAAAGAAAAAAAACATAGATAGCTACCTAACATTGCTGGAAAACTTCCAACTGGCTGGTCATCCACCACAACTCTTATAGACTGAGTGCAGCTTTGGGACATTGGAATTAGTCAGTTTTCTATGGGCATATGAAGTAACCATTAGAATTGCACAGAAACATCTAGTCATAGTGTTAGGTCTCGTCTGAATAAAATATTAGTAGATATTGAGGCAAAAGCATTAACATGTCTTCTGCAGTGATTTCTATGTCTGGACAGGTGAAATTATTAGGGCAGGTATATTCAAGACTTTACTTTCTGTAGGTGGAAGCACAAGCAAAAACTGAGAAGAAGAAAGCAGAAGCAGAAGACTTGAACCAGCTGCTTTTCAGGCCTGTTCAAAAGGTAGAGAAAGGTATGCTTTTTTTTTGGCCAAAATTTGTTCTCCAGAATATGACATCCTTATGGTGTGCACTTCAAGAGCTTCCTATACAGCAAAAGTGGCTTATAAATTGTGCGTTTTAGAGCTGATTTCCCAACGGCTCAGATATGATCAAGTGAGAAGTGGCATGCTTACAGTTTTGTTGCACTGTTGTTCTAGAAGCATTTCTGGACACGCAAAACTAAGAGTGAATTGATGCTTGGGGCTTGCATAATTTATCAAGT